GGACACCAGAACTGCACACAGCATTACCGGTGGGTCTCATGAAAGTAGAGGGGAAGAATCATCTCTCTTGACCTGCTGCCCACACTCCTTGGGATGCAGCCCAGGATTCCATTTGCTTTCTGGGCTGAGCTCACACTGCAGCTCATGGGGAGCTTCTCATCCACTGTCACTCCCAAGTCTTTCTCCTCACTGCTGGTTTCAATGACTTCCCCACCCAACCTGTAGCTGTGCCTGGGATTGCCACAGCCCAGATGTAGAACCTTGCACTTCAATTACAAATTGCACTTGCAATTACATTAGAGAACCTCTACAATTACATTAGAGAGCCACTACAATTACAAATTGCAGTTGCAATTACATTAGAGAACCTCATCTTCCCCATCCTTTAAAAGCATACAGTTCAACAGCAAACAATTGTTCACTCACACAAAGCTGCTGGGACTATTTGTGATGAGGAACATCTTCTTGCCGTGATCAGCCAGCTTTGCTAGCACCGCGCGGGTCTGCTCGGCGTAGCAGATGTATTTCTCTGCGAGGATCGAGGAAAACAGTATTCATTGAGACAGTTTATACTTAACAAAAGGCCCCTCTGACCAGTGGAAATAACTCTTTCAAGCTTTAAAAGCTTAGAATTTGTAGCCAAAAGGGTCAATGAACAAAGCTTTGATAGATTATATCATTAGGACTTACCAATATCTGCTTCAATGGCTCTGTACATTATTCCTTTGATATGGACATCCCTGATTGAATCCTGTAAGGAAAGCAACAGAGCACCTCAAAATATATTCATATCACGGATCTTGTTGTCAGTATATATATTGTAAGTCCCAAATTTTCCATGTGATTTCAGTAATCCTATCACTTCAAGAGGCAAAGACATACCACACCAACAATAAATCTGTAAAGCTTCACATGTTGGAATAATTCTCAACAAACAGAACTACATTTTAGAAGCCTTTATGGTATCTAAGGAACTTAAAAATCTTTTCAAGTAAAAACAAAAAAAATCCTTGTTTACTGGTTTACTCCATATGGCAGTAGCAATTTGGTTTTAAAACAATTCCTTTCTCAGAGTTACACTTTCAGCTTTACAGAAATGCCATACAATGTGTGTCATCACCAAACCATCAGCATCATCAAACCAAGAGTAAGCCTGTCCTCCAAGAAGCTGATTTCATAATTCTAGAAGTCATTGTCTTATCAAGGTTGGAGGACACCACTAAGATCATCAAGTCCAACCATTAACCTGTCACTGCTGGAACTCCTAAACCATATCCTCCAGTGCCAGATCCAGATGCCTCTTAAATACTTCAGGGATGGTGACTCTGCCACCTCCCTGGGCAATTACAGTGTCTGAACATCCTAACAGTTTCAGTCTTTAAGGCTTGAATATTTTAATCATTTAGGTTGGAAAAGACCTCCAAGATAGAGTCCAACCTGTGACCCATCACCACCTTGTCAACTAGACCAGAGCACTGAGTGCCACATCTAGTTGGTCCTTGAGCACCTCCAGGGATGGTGACTCCACCACCTCCCTGGGCAATATTCCAGTGCCTGAACACCCTCACAGGGAAAACATTTCTCCTCATATCCAATCTGACTCTGCCCTGGCTCAGCTCAAGACCATTCCCTCTAGTCCTCTCCCTGCAGCCATGGCAGGACAGACATCCCCCACCTCTCTCCAGCCCTGTCAGGGAGTTGGAGAGAGCCATGAGGTCATCCCTGAGTCTCTCTCTCAAGGCTAACCAAGCCCAACTCCTTCAGCCCTTCCCCATGTGCTCTAGCCCTTTGCTGCCCTCCCTGCCCTTGGCTGGACTTGCTCCAGTGCCTCGATGGCCTTTTTGTAGTGAGGAGCCCAAACCTGAACCCAGCACTGAAGAAGTACAGAACTGTACATCAGAGGAGCTGTTTTACACAACAGCTGTGAAAGGTTGATCAGAGGGGTGAAGTGTGGTGAAAACCCTCTACGTAAGCAGAGTCATCACCAATTTCCAGTGACCTTTGGAGCAGAACACATTCCTTTCCTCTTGAAAAAAAAAAAACCAACCCGAATAAAAACCCTCACCAACAACCCACAGGATTTTAGATTACAATCACTCACAAATGCCCTAGTTATTTAAATAAGGAATTTATGAGCTGATGAAAGAAGCTAAATGCTTAAGCAAAGCACTCCTAAGGCACTCTGAAGGCATTTGGCAGCTCTCCTGAACCAGCTCTGCTTGGTTTAGAACTGTTGTACTGCCATTTTGGTACTTACATGGGCTATGTCCTCAAAATATATCACTACAAGAGTTCCAGAGTACTGGTAACACCGAACAGTACAAAAGTTAAGCAGAAACCACTAGTCTTCTGATTCTGTGTAACCACAGACAGAAGAGAAAATTACTCTGGAAGTCCTAAGTTTCTTAAAATCTATCTGATATACTTGGTAAAGTGAGAAATTCAATATTTGAGTGTTTAACATATGTTGAACAACTACATAAGTTTAATACATGTCAACAAAGAGCCAGGAAAAGGTTTTGGATACAATGTCTGTGCACACAGATGTTCTCACTTTGGGCATGATCTCTTTTGCTCTTACACAACCATGATATAAAAGCATCTCCTCTGCAGGATACAACCTGAGGAAAATAACTCTAGTCTTGTACTAGAGTACCAAATATTGAATATTCTAGTCTGCTACTAGAGGGTTTTTTGAGGAGGAAGAGAGACAAACAGGCAAAACAGATAGCCCAAAAGTAGGAGAGAGCAAGTGATTGTACACTAGCAAAGACGCAGAGGCAGCACAACTGGGAGCTCTAAACTGGAACTCCCTTACACTGCTGATAGTGAGAAAAAGGATATGTTTAATAACATATAACAAGTTTTATCAACTTAAAAGAGCTTCTTCGCTTTCCCCCATCCACCCCTCAAAGCTACATTAATAACAACAGCTGTAGAACATCAGGTTTCAAACACATTTCAAACTATTCTGTCTCTTTTCCAAGCTCTACCTTAGTTTCACCCATGGTTTTATGGTTGTGCAGCAATAATTACTCCATTCAAAACCCAGGTTGAGGTATTTCACTGAGGCTGACACAATAGCTGAAAACTTCCTGAAGTGCTCCCAAATGTAGAGGTTTGCCTAAATCTTCAAAGCTAGTACCTTGACATCTTTGTACAGGTGAACAGGTTCATAGTCTATGTTGTTTTTCAGAAAGTATTCATTCACACAAGAAAGGAGTGTCATTTCTGGCAAGGAAAATATATCCATGAATTGCTTCATTGTATTTCCTTGAGAGCTCTATGGAGGTATGAAGAAAAGGGAAGGAAAAAGGTCAGTCATTTCTCACATTAGAACACTTCCATTCATGCAGTACAAACACCTCAGATTGGCTGCAGATATTCAGCTTTTTGCAATCCCTGTTCTTTAGGTTCTTTTTGAACTGAGACCTTTGATAAAATATCTCCAAAAGTGTTGGATTTAGTAGAAGAATTAATCACAACTCATTACTCTTAAGAGCAATATTTTCATCCATAAAAACAAGACAGAGCTTGGCTAAAAGTTAAGGGAAAAACCTTAGAGGCCTTCACTAGAGGTCTGCACTTTTGTAAATAAGAGGCACTAGGTAGAGGGTTTTTTACTTGTTTGGAGGGGTTTTAGTACAAAAGTAGAGAATCTAATTATACAACAGCAAATACAACCCAAACACTTCTCAGTAAGGAGACAGGTAAAGCAACCAGCTCAAGATAGCAGAAACAGAATAGCTGAGATTGCAAGGGACCTCTGGAGGTTATCTCATCCAAGCCCCCAGGGCCATCTGGAGCCAGTTGCCCAGGTGGCTTCAGAATCTCCAAGGATAGAGACTGCACAGCCTCCCTGGGTGATCAGCCTATGCCAGTGCTTGGTCACCCTCACAGTAAAGGAAGCATTTCTTGATGTTCAGAGGAAGCTTCCTATGTTTCAGTTCATCTCTTATTCTGTCACTATCCTTTCCAAGATCAAAGAAAATACAGGCCTAGAGGGACCAGAGATATGCAGAATTGCTGCAGAGACCAGATTCAGGAATTCCTAATGCAGCTCCTTGAAACATGAACAAGTGCAGGAGCAAGAAAATGCTCCACAACAAAAAGTAGGACCTTCATATCAACACATCCCTAAGTAAAGGCATGAAATAAACTTAGCTTTTTAGCAAAATGACAGAACAATTCTTCATTCAGAAAAAAGGAAGGAACACAACGGGGGGGGAAAAAAAATAAAAACTATCAGCTTTCCTGACAAAGTCAAATCCTAAACTTGAAAGTGTCATCTTTTATCATTCCTTTTGTCAAATCCTTTAACTGCCACTCTGACAGTTTGCAGGCAGGAGATGCCTCTATACGTTTTCTTGTTGCTAAATCAGCTAAGCCATCAGACCACCAGGAGAAGTACACAGCCAGGGTAAAGCACCAGATATGGCTCATTTCTCAGTCTTTATCAGATTTGCTGTGCAACACTGAGCAAGTTGCTTGATTTCCTACGTTCCACTTCTCTGTCTGTGTGACTGGTCAAAGAAGAAACTACAGCAAGCAGGAGAAATAAAAGTTGTCTCTTTAGAAGGCAAGCTTCACATCTGTGAAGTCTGAAGTTTGTCCAGCTTCACATTCAGCACTATAAGGCAATCATACATTGAGAAAATGTAACTGCAAGTTCTAATGAGAACAAAATGCGAGCACCACTACCCTCACGCCAAAAGTACAAAAACAAAAAAAAAAACCACAAACAAACCACTACCTCTTCGAAAGACCAATTAGTGGTTTTACCTTTCCATAAAAGTCACTCATTTGTTCTAAAGGAACATGGGAACCATCATACATTGCAATGACTTCTTCATCTGGGACAACACTGAGGCCTCTGGAAAACAACAGGAGCTTTAGTTCAAAAGGCAGATTAAGATTTTTCAAGTAATCACCCAAATCTGACAGACTAACACTTAGGTCTGGACCTTATTAAAATACTAATAAAGTCAGAGGAACACTTTTGTCTGTAAGTTAAAGCACCATCCTTCCTTACAGAACATTTTAACACAGAGAACACATTCTAATTTTAAGCCCCTTTTACTTTCTTAAGGGAAAAGAGCTAATTAGTCTCCACTGAAATTATGCCTCCAGGGTTTATAAGAAGTAGTTAAAGCTTCCAATTTCTTAACACAAATTCCTCACTCTGCCTTTCTTTCATACAGCATTGATGATGTGATAGGGTTTAAATCAGATTATTCTGGAGCATGACCTTGAAGATTCAAGGGAAAGAAAAACACACACAACCTGCAGCTAAATAAGAATTGCTTTCAAAGTGCAGAACAGCTCAGTTTACCAAAATTTAAAACCAGAGAATCATAGAATCTAAGGGTTGGAATGGACCTTACAGATCATCTAGTCCCAACCCAGGGACACCTCCTCACTACATCAGGTTGCTCAAGGCTTCCTCCAGCCTGGCCTTGAACACTGCCAGGGTCAGGGCAGCCACCACATCCCTGGGCAACCTGTCTCACCACCCTCACAGGCAAAAACCTTTTTCTCACATCCAACCTAGACTTTCCATCCTTCAGTTTGAACCCATTAGCCCTTGTCCTATCATTGCAGTTCCTAACACAGAGTCCCTCTCCAGCTCCCTTGTAGGCCCTTCAGAGATTGAAAAGTTGCTCTGAGGTCTCCACTCAATCTTCTCTTCTCCAGGCTGAACAGCCCCAACTCCCTCAGCCTGTCTTCAGAGAGGAGGTGCTCCAGTCCTCTGATCAACTTTGTGGCCTCCTCTGGACTTGCTCCAACAGTTCCACGTCCTTCTTATGTTGAGGACACCAGAACTGCACACAGCATTACGGGTGGGTCTCATGAGAGTAGAGGGGAAGAATCACCTCTTTTGACCTGCTGCCCACACTTCTTTGGATGCAGCCCAGGATTTGATTTGCTTTCTGGGCTGCTAGCACACACTGCAGCTCATGGTGAACTTCTCATCCAATGACTTGAAGGATGGTTGATTTTAAAAAAAGCACCATAATAAGAAATGGGAAAGAGAGAGGTATCGCAACATCATCTCTCCCCACAGATTTATTATCAGCTGTTAAGAGAGTAAAGGCTTCAGTTTGAGCTTGAAAGTTTACAGTATCAAGCATCTTGCAGTAAAGCACCTAGGAAAACTGTGGGCAGGCAAATAATCTCACCAGGGGATGCAGAGGTGTTGAGATTTTGCTTTAGATTGAAAAACACAAATGAAAACCAGATCAGCTGGTCTCTTTTTTCCAAGCCTACTGAGAGTATTTAGCAGCCTTGTAAGACAGACTGTTATTTTCAGTGTTTCCCTTTCTTGGTCTTACCAAGAACTGTTGCCAGGCATTAAAAACCAAATGAATTAATCAATAAGCCTAGCCCTTCCAGTGCTTAGCCTTCACACCAGCTTTGCAGTGAAAAGGCATGATACATGAGCCTCCTCAGGGCTCCTGTGTTAGCAGAGTCCAATGTTAATCAGCTCCTTCACTGCACCTCTCAAGGCTACACTGACTGGTACACAGCTCTGAGCTGTTCCTGGTAGGACTCCAGCATTCAAGTTAGTATTTGTCCACAAACAGGGCAGATAATGCTTTGGTTTTGTAACATCCAGGGTTCAGCATCATCCACTCCACAGCAGCAAGCACAAAGAAATGCCACCAAAACATTAAACATACGCCAAGTCACACCATCAGGACTGAGAAGGTGCCTTCTGGTCTGCACACAACTATGCCAAGTGGTATTTGAATACTGCTAAAGAAAACACTTATGTATCAGCAGCTACCTAAGCACAAATCAAAACAGGACAATAGGTCTAAGAAAACCACAGAGCAGAGATGACTGTCTAGGCAAAGCTGCAGATTAGTTCCACCAGAAGACTCACAGTCTTGACACAGTTCACAGTCCAGCTGCATACACACAAAGGCTATGTTATTCTACTACCAGCATGAACAGATGGCACCCAAAGCACCACTGTCCACCTGCAGCACCTCCCACTGCTGCTGTTGGTGTGCATTGTTGCAGGGACACCAGAACTGCTTGTGCTTCTCAGTGCAAAGAGTCTGTATGCTCACACAAGTCCTGCTACCTTCAGCTACATCTCTGACCTACACATGCACAGAAGACACAGAGCAATACAACTAACCACTACAGATATGCAGCAACCGACAGCAAAGCTCAGTGTTGGTATGGTTATGACACTGTGTTGTGCTTTGTTCTGCAAGTACAATTTGGTTGACATGTCCAAACTCAAAAACTCCATGCAAACACAGCAAGACCTCTCAAGTGTTTCCACAACCACACCAAAGTCATGCTAACAGGCACTCTGCAACAATTTTTCACACAGAAAGCAACAGCAGAGAAGTCATCCATGTATTTTTACGTCTCTTTCAGCACAATTTAGCAGCTGGAAACAAAGTGAGTCAGCACTATGTGACCAACCAGCTTGCCAACTTCCCTGGCACTGTGCTGGGGAATCAGCTGCACTGGGTCAGTCAGGAAACATGTACACACGTCTCTGTGTACACACAGAGGTGCAAAGAAAAACCTCTTTCCAGTAAGGCCGCAACGTTCATTCATGTCTGTGCTTGGCAGGGCACAGGTCCTGGTATGAACTCAAGATGCACACAAATAAATGCAGTTAAAAGAGTCAAAAAAATAAAGAGTATTCATTTGTATGATAGAAAATAGTTTTACCCACCTGTAAACTGTTCCCAGCTGAATATAATGAAAAGCATCGATCTTCATTAGTAATGCCTTGCAGGGGAAAAAAAAAGAAAATATTTTTATCACATCAACAATTTGACATGAAATCATAAAAATCAAAGCAATTTTTTCTGTGACCCTCCTATCTCAAGAACACCTGAGCACCTCAACTCAACTTCCTTCACAGCTTCCAATGTAATTTTATCAATGATTTTTACTTAGGTTTGTTCTGTTGTATTCTAAGTTGTCTTCCCCCACCCATCATGAGGACAAAACACCCCAAACATTTTCTACTTAAGAGCTATTGAAAAACAAAAAGACTAATAATAATAAATCGAGCTTGCTATGAAAGAGAAAAAAAATGAGAAAAAAATCCTGACACATAATCCAGAGTGAAAAGTTGGGAGACTTCAAAGCTCTATTTACTGTGTTTTGTTAGGTTCTCAGCACTACGTAACTCACCACCAAGTTGTTTCTACATACCCTGTGCACATCGTAGTGAAGTCCTCTGATGGCAAAATTGGGATCATAATCATATTTCCTGATTTCTCCAGGATACTAAAAACAGAGAGCAATGGTTTGATTATAAATCCATAATGAAAACAAATACAAATTGTGTCTGCAGAATTTGAAAGTTCTAAGGTTCAGCCTGGAGAAGACTATGTGGAAACCTCATAGCAACTTTTCAATATCTGAAGGGCCTACAAGGGAGCTGGAGAGAGACTCTTTGTTAGCAACCCCAGTGATAGTACAAGGGGTAATGGATTCAAACTGAAGGAGGGGAAGTTTAGGTTAGATATTAGAAAAATATTTTTTACTATAAGGGTGGTGAGACACTGGAACAGGTTGCCCAGGGATGTGGTGGCTGCCCCAACCCTAGCAGTGTTCAAGGCCAGGCTGGGTGAAACCTTGAGCAACCTGATCTAGTGAGAAGGTGTCCCTGCCCAGGGCAGGGGGTTGGGACTAAATGATCTTTAAGGTCCATTCAACACCTAAATTCTATGACTCTATGATGTTTCTATGATAGTTAAAGGCTTTTGGATAGGCTGGTGAGATTTGTAGGAACATATGCACACACTCCAAGACAAGTCAAATATTGCTCCAAAAGTCAAGGCCATTGTTTGAAACCTAAGCCAATGATAGTACCTAAAGTTGGACATCCAGATACTCTGTAGTGATCACCTTTGCACATTAGTCTTGTGTCCATTGAAGCTCCTTTACTTACACTGTTATTAGAGACGCACGTGAACTGAACATCTGGGTCATGTCCTTTCTCCCCATTTCTTTCCATAGAGCATAGGTAGCCTACACCACCATTATATAGTTTCCTAACATTTTCAGTACAAGCCCATTTTCAGTCGATTTTCATTCTGTCCTGCTCTGAGCACAGGCTGCCATGAAAAATACATTAGGTGCATCCCTCGGGCTAAGGGTTTTGTTCACTTGTTTTTAAAGGGTAAAATGCTTCAGCTGTTTTGACAAGGCCTGAGAAAAATCCCATTTCTTTGGTTAATCCACTGAAAAGCAATCCTGGATTTTCCTCCTATAGGAAAAACTTGTCTACAACTCCACAAATTCATCTCAGGCATGTTGTTCACCTTCTCTACAAGAGTCTCCATGCATATATAGGTAACTGACAAGTCTTTGGGGGAAAGCATTATCCAACTTCAACAGAGGCTCTAGGTACTTTTATAATAAACAAATTGCAGTTTATCCCCAAAGTTTTTATATATGCTGAAGAGGACTTGCTCTGCAACTGCTGTGGATGGTGTTGGTACTGAGCACAGGTATCTACAGTTAAAACATTCCTTTCTCCTACCTGTCATCTCTACTATGCCCCACGTTGTCTGGAAGTGGTAGTAGGGATGACAGTTAGGACTTCCAGATTCATAGAATCATAGAATTTAGGGCTTGGAATGGACCTTACAGATCATCTAGTCCCATCCCCCTGCCCTGGGCAGGGACACCTTCTCACTAGATCAGGTTGCTCAAGGTTTCATCCAGCCTGGCCTTGAACACTGCTAGGGTTGGGGCAGCCACCACATCCCTGGGCAACCTGTTCCAGCACATGGGGCAGGCTTCTAATCTGAAGAACAAAAGGCTACAGACAGGTTGGAAGATGTGTGGATTTGGCCAAGGAACATGAAACACAGACAGAAGGGAAACCATCAGGGGAGGACAGAGAATGTGATCAAGTAAAAACTACCATGTACTGCACATGCCCCAAAGCAACCACATTAGCACGTACAAGGAAATTTCTTTCTGGCTTTATCAACTTTCTGCATACTTGACTGGCTTACTTTAATTGTTTCTACTAGAAAGCTCTTTTCCCACACAGGCAAGTACACATGAAAAAGAGATTGAGCCTACCTTGGCACACAAGTCAAAGCGTCCTTACAAACCAACAACAAAGTGATAAACCCTAGACTGTTTGCTTACCCCACCTTTGGCAGGGATAACCTATCTGGACCGAAACAGCAGACCCAGGAAGATGGCACGAGGCCTGTGCATTAGGAAAGAAATAAACCCTGAGCACCTGCTGCTACCTCTGATTAGCATTGAACTGATGTTTATTCTCTTGGACATAATTCAAAATTCCTTGCTTCCTACACTGCATTTTGCAATTTCTGATGAATTACCTTACACTGCCATGACCAAAACTGGTCATCATTCAGGCTGACTGTGATGGTCACAATGGACAATACTATCTAGAAGGTTTTATTTTTCCAAAGTTAAAGGCAAGAAAAACATGAAACAGCCTAAGCAGCTACAGAGATAGCACCAATAAAAACTGTTGTCCCTCAGTAAATTCCAACAGGAAATGTCTCATAAAGTAATTACAGCTTCATTTACTAAAACTCAGGAGATTTCAGTTTAAACTGGAAGGTTATTACTGTCCAAACTCATTCAAATAGCAAAGACAAAGAACCATTTGAGGTTTTGTCTACAAGAATGAACCTCGAATCCTACAGTAACACTGGTTTTTGCAAGAACCTGTCCCTCAGTAAATTCCAACAGGAAATGTCTCATAAAGTAATTACAGCTTCATTTACTAAAACTCAGGAGATTTCAGTTTAAACTGGAAGGTTATTACTGTCCAAACTCATTCAAATAGCAAAGACAAAGAACCATTTGAGGTTTTGTCTACAAGAATGAACCTCGAATCCTACAGTAACACTGGTTTTTGCAAGAACCATGTAGCTATTGTCTACAAGAATGAACCTCGAATCCTGCAGTAACACTGGTTTTTGCAGGAACTATGTAGCTTTAATAAAGTGCATGGACACATCCTATAGAAATTGATACCAAGACATGTCAGAATTGTAGGGGGATCAAGCTGTGTGTGCTTGTAGCATCCATGAGGTTTTGTTTGTTCTTCCAGGGATATTTATAGATGTTTATATTTAGCTCCTAACCTTTAGATTCGAATAGGAAAGTGGAATAACACCACCCATTCAGATTTAGGCTGTATAAAAATACACCAGCAGTTTTATTAAACTACTCTGTGGCCTTTTTGTCTTTTATTTCCCTGCAAGTCCTACAGTTCAATAAAATTTGCCTCTTTCACTCCTTGTTTTCTTCACATCTTTTTCACTGCAACACCAGTCTCTCAAGTCACTTATCTCCCTGCTGCTTCCTGACACAGGAACTCTTCCCATCCTCAAACTACACAATCACCAGCTCCAAGCTGCTTGAATTTCAAGTGGTCCTCAACCCAAGCACATTCAGTGCTTGGGGAGGCACCAGGGCACTGTTCCTTCTTAGGGGAGTACTGGACTGAACCCTCAGCTGTATCCAGGCTCCGATGACAGCTTCACTGCATACTTAGCTACCACAGCTGAAACGCTGGGTTCATGCAGAGCACTTTGCCAGCACACAGGGCAATCAAAGACCTGCTGAGAAGCCAAGCTAAAAATATTTCACGTGGAAATTAATCACTGCACTCACAGCAATGGATAAAACAGGAATGATAACTTTCAAGCTTCCTATTTATTAATGTGACTCCAGTAAGTGACAATCAGGAACAAACACAAACTACACTACCACGTGGAAAAAAAAAAAAAAAACCAAGACAAAAATAACTGTATTCTTTAACAGCCTGTACTCTGCTCAAAACTGCAGCTGAGAATAAACCAGGACTTCTGTTGTTCATGAGGAGCTGTTGTACAAAATGTGCTAAACGGGAGCCAAGCTAGGACTGAGGCATGAAAAGATGAGTTATGCCTCTGAGTCAGAAATTATTTATTATGCTCTTTGTTCATCAAGGTATTGTTATTTCCTTGCTTTCACTTACCCGATGCTCATTGATGAGAAGGTCTCTAGCAGCATTGAAGATCAGCGTGTGCAGATGTTTGGAATAAAAGACCAATGTGTAGTCATAATCAAACCCATAAATTTCTATGTCTGACAGGCTCATTTCATTGTTGGAAAAAATAGCATCTGGATTCAGCATGTTACTCATGATTGAAGGAACGAACTCTGAACAGGGGAGACAAAAAGGAGTTGTTTAAACAGAACTGCGAGGCTGGTACAAAAACAGAGAAATCCATAGGTTATTGCTAAATATAGATAAGTTATGATGGAAAATATCAAACAATCCTTAACAATATGATGCTACTGAACTCGCTGTGCCTAACCTGTCTTGGTAACCCATAGTTTTTGTTTGAAGCACTTTTCTCTGCACAGTTCAAGCTGGAGAGAAGATGCATTTTGGCATCTTGCTTACCAGAGAACACCAGATATCATTTTTTGATAGTCATTAACACATTTATTAATGCTCTTCAAAATTAATCTAGAGTTGAAGAATTATATTATCATTACTATTGCTACTACCCTAGGAGCTTTTTTCCCTCCTGTTACTTGGTCCAGCTCCTGCCTTAGCAGCAGAACTAACATTTGACATAGCTTTAATTTTTTGTTGCTTCACCATTCCAAGGTTAGCACATTACCCAATTTCAATTCAAATAAGTGAACTCTGTGACTGCCACACTCCCCAAACAGCTGTTGCACACACATTGCTCTGCTCATTAACCTTCTAGCATCTCAGGGAACAAAATAGATCATGCTATTACCTAGAGTATGTAAATCACTCCCATTTTTAAGGGTATATTTTTCTTGGTATTTGACGGCAAAGTACACTGAGAAGTTAAGACTGTAACATATCAAGTTACTTTAGAACCAACACCAATGTCAATACTAAACATTTAGGATGTTTATATCTCTTGTTTACAAAACTTGAAAGAACAACATTAAGAGGCTAAGTATTACCCTCCTGGCAGCATAAAACATGAGCATGTTTTCCTTCCTTCCCTTCCCATATACATGATCTTTATACTCCAGATTTCCCTACTAGTGGAAAAAACAAGGGGAGGGGGGAACTTTCATCTTGAATCTGTGCTTGGAAGGGCGAGTTTAAAGGGAATATGCTTTGTAAATCTGAAAGGAGTGGATCAAGCTTCTCTCAACACCTTTAGCTCTGAGGTCTGGTCACTATGTGCTCCACCAGCAGAGGAAGACATCTCAGCAAGGCAGGTAGGTGTGGGGACTCCACTTCTCTCAGGAAACAGGCCATCACACAGAAAGGGAAGTGGTATTTCTTTTGCAAAAGCAATGCCTTTGACTGCTGCACAGTTGGCAAGAAGAAACTGATACAGATGCCCAATTACAGTCAGTTATTTGAAACCTTTCGACTTGATCAGATGTAGAGACCCTAGTCTTTTCATTTTTAAGTGAGGAAGAACAGCAAATCCACTGAGTTAAGTTCCAAGTTTCAAATAAAGTCCAGCATCTCCCACTGAAAAAATCCCAGGAGTTCCCCATGCTGAAGCTAAAATGAAAAACTGCATCTTTCACTGCTGGGGATGTAACAAACTAAGCCTCAGACAAAATATAAGCTCCTAAGATCTCCATTCACTGCTTGTAGTAATAGAGGACATAAATGTTATGCTCAGTTGAGGTAACAAAATCATCAAATGCAATTTGAAATGCTACAGTTAAGGAAAATATAAAAAGGGCCATGAATCATTCCATTAACTTGAAGTCAGAAGCCTAGTTTTGAGTGAACTTCCAAAATCACATTACAACACCCTCTTCTGTATTGTAATTAAAATATTTTTTTCACATGGCAATTCTGCAGCCTGGTGAGTCAACACTTGTTTTAAAAATAATGATATTTATATAGCTATATATAAATACATTTCAGCTAAAAAAGAGCCCGAGTAGTGCGTGTCTGAAAACAGAAGAAACACTTAGCAGCTAGTGGCAGCTAGTGCTAGCCATTCTGGCTAGCAGACAGTATCTCAAGTGCTTTAAACCTTGGGTCAAAAATCTGGAGAGCTTTGTCATCTTAACACCATAACTAAATGAAACATCACATTTCTGAAGCCTTCGGATGACTTAGGCTGCAATATGATAGTCGAAATATTCTAGAAGTACTTGCTTCATCTTTTGCCAACCCACACCCACTGACCAACTTCTTTTCTCATAACATTACCCCACCTCAGCTCTGAAGTATTATTTGGGTGTGGTTTAGAACAAGAGAACATTCATTGCAAAAACAGGGGGGAGAGAAAAAAACACCAACTCAAACTAAAAGGCTCTTCCCTTCTTCCTATCCCTTATCTTACCCTCCAGAGCCCATAGCACTCTTCCAAGATATCTAGCATGGCTTTTAATTTCACTTCTGAAAAACTGCCACCACTTCATCTTTGCAAATGCTTTGTTTTCACTCAGCACTGTGAAGTCCTAGTTCATGCTCAAAACTCCAGAACAGAACACAGGAAATCCTTTCTTTTAAGGGCAAAGCATACAATCTAAAGCACTACCCATTACCACTACAGGACAAACTTTCCCACTCTGTGTCTTTTTCTTCCAGCTCACCAACACAAGCACATATTCAAGCTTTTATTAACCTTGGTAATATTTTTCCCACCAAAGCAAGGGCAGAAGCTAGGAAGCTTCAAGCATTTGTCGTCTAGCTTTTAGCCCAGCCGTGCTGAAGAACAGAGCTTCCCAGAGCCGTGCATGTATCATTAGCATTTTACAAAGTTTCCCAGTGTTTAAGTGGAACCACAAGCAAAACTATCGAAGTCATCCAGAACTTTGCAGCGTTACTTTAAGTGGAACCACAAGCAAAACTATCAAAGTCATCCAGAACTTTACAGCGTTATAGCCGTTGGGCAGAGCAGCCCATTGGAGAAAGCCGCCCAAACCGACCACCAACTCCTCGATTTTCTTCATGCACTTGCTCTTCTCCTTATATACCCCAACCCCTGCCACAGTGCCCGGTCCCAGCTAGGCTGTATGGAAGGCTCCTTCCTCGAGGCACTTCCAAACAGCTGGCTCTGTCGGGCACTCCTCTTCCTCGGAGCAGAAGAAAAAGGGGCAGTCTCCCCGCTGCAGCAGCCCGGCCGTGAGGACACACACCGAGGTGACGGTCCCACCGCGCTGCCGGTTTGGAGCGCCG